CTGACCAGAGGGCAGCGTCCTGCCACTGTGGGACTCGGACCCATGTCTGCCTTGTATCTTAGCTGCTTCCTTAGGGCATAAAGCCATTAGTGACTGTCAGCTTGCACATGGGCACTGCTGAGGCTTGAGAGGCCTGGCAGCCAACGTCAGATGCATGGACTGGCCCTTGAATGTCAGGCCGAGGCATCTGGGCTTGATTTTGTTGTCTGTGAGGACCATGAAGCAGCCCAGGACAAGGCTGAATGACTTTCTCATGGTGGTCTTGTAAACTGAGACTGTCTTCTTGCTTTGTCATGGACTAGCTTTGTGTCCTTAGTCCCCCACTTCATCATCTGTGAAATGGGAGAACAGTTGCTCTCTCATAGAGTCGATGTAAAAATTAAACAAAAATGTAAACAAAGCACTGGTCCTTAGCAAGCACACGGCCATCATTACTGTTCTTACTATTCTGCTCTTGTTTTTGCCTGCTGGGCATCCCTTTACCAATTTTTTGGTACTCTTTGGGTATTTTTCCCTCCTCCATCGTCTTGATGGGACCTTCTGCTCTTCAGCGGGCTCTGTCTATGCCATTTGAGGTACAAAACCCAGGCTAGGCCAGTCACACCTTTTGTCACCGGAGTTGGAGGCCCGAGAGGCCAGGGATACGAGAATACCAACATCTCTCTCAATTCCTGCTGCCTGAACATCCCCCCACCCACACCCCAGCACACCCCAAGCTGCTCTGATCCTTGCCTTTCAAAAGTTGGATTGTTTGGCTGTTGATTGGATTCTTTGAGATGTCCAAGATCCTTTCAGTACATTCTTTCTCTGCCTGTGGTAACCAAGGGTTGATTTCGGTCATTTTCAATCAGAGGGCACCAGTACCAGCTGGACGTACATAAAAGGGAAGGTAAGTAGGTGTATTGAGAAGGACAGGGACCGTCTCCCCTGCCTGCCAAAAATAGTCCTTTCATAATGGCTTCATTCCTCCCTTTGATTTTTCGAGTTCATTCCTTGTGAGCTTTTTATCTCCAGGCATTCAGGGACTTTTATTTTGGCGCTCAGGACAGGCTCTCTTGAGGAGACATGCTGATAACACTTAGCCTTAACTGCTTCTCTTGATTTTATTTGTAAATGAGAATCCTAAGGATCTGTAAGGAAACGAGTAAAACTTAATTGAACAACATTTAGAGCCGGAATTAAAAAAATAATAATAAAGAGAGTCCGTAATGGTAAGAGGCCCTGGAGGATGAGAAGAGTGCCGAACAGTGCGTCTGGGCGTGTATTCTGCCTGCACCTCATCCTGTCCATCACGTTTTAAGTACCGCTGAGACCCAAGGTCAGCAGAGTAACTGATGGCCTCCAGAGGCCGTCATATCTTGTCTCTCTTATCATATCTTGTCCCCACTCACAGCTTCCTCTTCTGGCATTATTGGACAGCAAGTGTTCCAACCTAAATTAAAATCAATAAGAAGCAATTTCACTTGTTTTTAACTATGAAGACACGCGCTTCCAGCAGGGCACTGTACTTTCAAATATAGTTCAGTTTTGTTTTTGTTGTGTTTTTTTTTTTTCCCTTCTTTCTGGCTAGAGCCCAAAATGCATTAATATTTCAGCGTTAAGACTTTGCTGGTGTTGCCCTGCTTTGATTTAAGACCTTGTTACCACCATCATCTCTTTAAAAAACTGGGATTGTTGGCATCTTGAATTACTTCTGTGCTTTATAGAGCCTTGGCAATCAAAGCACCATGGGGTTCATCAGTTGTCATGTGAGAGCTTGTCAGAAATGCAGGACCCCACCCCCGCCCCAGACTAATGGAACCAGAATTTGCTTTTTCACAAGACCTGCAGGTGAGTTGGAGCCCCTTGGAGTTTGAGAACTGCTTTCTGAGTTTGAATATTATTTTAATCTCCTGGTTTCCATAATTTTTTTTTCTATTGAAGTGCAATAAATGTTCATTGTTGAAAATAGAGGAACCCGTAAAGATACACAGAGGGAGAGTAAAATCATCTGTAACCTGAACATAACTAAGGACTTACCATGTTGGTCTATATGGCCTTTGGGTGGTTTGTTGGAATGTGAAAATTTATATATATATATATTAGAATAATTTTGTGAAAGATTAAGACATCTTTTATTCAGCATAAAGTTTAATTCTTAAGAGGAAGATCCGAGTTCTCCTTTGGTCAAGGACAAAAGATGCTGGAGAAGGAGATCTTTTTTCCTTCCAAACTTGAATCATTTGTTAGGGACCTACTGTGTGCCGGGAGCTGCCTGCCTGTGGGACTCTTATGTTGGTAACCACAGAACAAGGGAAAATTCATACACTGACTGGGCTTTTGAATCCTGACATGCATCTTCTGGACAGTTGAGACAAAGGAAATTATTAATATGGCTTGCTTTTTGCTTAATTTTCCTCCTCTTTATTTTTTTGCCTTGCTTTGCTGGTATGGATTTTGAATTAATTGCTACTTTAATTGCTTTCACTAGGTGATAGATTCCTCTGATTGAGCAGACCTTTCCATCCGAAAATATCTGGGATTTGAGACTTAAGGTCAGGAAGGACAACTTCCCCAGCGCGGGGGAATAAGGTGGTTGTCTTGGCAGCAGAAGCTTGCTAATTACACTGCCAGTTGTAGTGTCTGTTTATGATGGAGGCACTGGAGGCCCAATTAGCAGGGCATTTGCATGTAAGGGATTTGGTATTGGACTCTGGTGTGTGGGGAAGGTATGGCAACCGGTGAGCACCTTCTCAGTGCAGGGGAACTGGGGATGGTTTTAGATCCTGTCGCCTGGGATTGCCACAGGTCACTGACAGGAAATGAAAGCTCTGCTGTTCCTTCTGTTACTCTGAACCAACAGTTTCTAAAGTTGTCTTGTCTGCAGGGGCGACAGTACTAAAGTGGCTACTCTTGAGAGAGGCTGGTTTCCCTGGAAGGAACTGGCCAAGTGATGAGGCCGGGAGGGTCGTGAGACTCAGCAGATTGGAAGCACAGGGTGGGGAGAGGCAGTGGACAATCCTTTGGGTCTGGATTTCCCATTTCTGGAGGTTGGGGGTGGGGGTGGGGGACTGAAGGGGGTGGGTGTGGATCTACTCAGATTCCTTCACTAGCATTTGTGGAAATGGCAGGGCACCAAGAGGCAGACTGGGTGACCTTTTTCTCTCCCTGTTTATTCCTTGTCATTTGCAGGGCCACGTATCACCCAGGTAGGTCTGTGCCCAGGCATGCCTGCCCGCTTCCACTCCTCTGCCCACCGGAGAGATGGAGAGGAAATATGATTGTCTCTTCTTATAAGGGCTCTCATCCCGTCCTGGGGGCCACCTCCCCTTCATGACCTAATTACTTACCAAAAGTCCCACTTAAGAATATCACCATGTTGGGGGTTAGGCCTTCAACATATGAATTTTGGGGGAACAGAATTCATTCCATAGCATAGATGTACTATGCTGATGTTGTATATATACACATCAGAAAACATTTCCAAGATATAAATTAAGAAGGGTAAGTGAATATTTACATACATATTCATATGTAATTATATATTTATATGTGTGTATAATTTAAATATACATGTAATTATATACCCATATTTACTCATGTATATACACACACATACATGTGCATACATTCACACATACATAGACATGAATGCATGGGTGTTCTGTTGTTTTCCTTCAAGTAGCCCAGTGCTGGAGATGCCTGCAGCAGACAGCAGCCACAGCTCTCCAGGGAGGAAGAGCTTGCTGCACGACAGTTTGGGGTTTCTTGGTCTCTCTAATGCACAGGATTGCCTCTAACACAGGGGTCAGCAAACTGTAGCCTGCACCCAAATCTGACCTGCCATTTGTTTTTGCACCGCCAGTGTGCTAAGCGTGTTATTCTACACTTCTTAATCGTTGAAAAGATTAAAAAAAAAACAGTTGAAGATGTGAAAATGTCATTCACATTGAAGGTCCATAAATAAAGTTTTATTGGAACGCAGACACACCTGTTTGCTTCCTGGCAGAAGAGTGCTATCTGACCTGCAGGCCTAGACTATTTCATGTGTATAATATGTAAACTCTATGGCCTGATGCGGAAAAAGTTTGCCAGCTCCCACTATAACACCGTCTCATTCAGTCTCATTCAGCAAGGCTATGACTTGCTGAATGATGTGTTGCAGATCCTGAACTTAAAGCTATGTAGTTATTCATTTAACTCTCACCACCACCCCATGAGAGAGGGGTCTCCTAAAATAACTCCTTCCAGGGTACTGTCTCCATCCAAAAAGGAGAAACTCGGAGCTTCACAGAGAGAAAAATTTGTCCCCAATACACAGCTGGTAAGTGAAGAGGCTGAGGTTTGAAAACAGCCCTTTTGCGTCTTGGCTCTTGGTGGCTCCATTCTGGACTTTGAGAATTCAGGTGAGTGCTGGGGTGGGTAGCCCAGGCCACTAGACTGGGCTGTGTGGTCAGCCTAGCCTGGTCCATTGATGTGTCTTTGGTACGCTGGGCACCTGGGGGCTGCGTGGTGAAGCCTTGAAGGATGGATAAAGGGTTGGATAGATGATGCCTAAGGCCAGCATGGAAGGCAGGGGGGGAACATGGGCATGTGGTCAGGGTCAGTTCTTAGATTCAATTTGCCAAAAACAGCCACTTGAAAGCAGGCTAGAGCGAGGGCCCCACCGTTTTAGGGAATCTGAGGCCGGCCGTTGAGGAGTTAGGAGTAAGAGATGAGGTTGGAAGCCCTGAGAGGTTTCCTAAGCTAAGGTTTCCCAGCTGTTCTGGTGAGTGGTGACTGAGGACGGCCTGGTCCTTTGGTACAGCCTGGGCCTTGTCTCTGTTCCACGGGCAGGTGCCTTCTCGGGGTGCCGTCATCCTCTGTTTCTGATGGAAGTGATGGGCCATGAGCAAGGAGCACGTACTGTTGGTGTAGGCACCCGTGGCCTGTATTTTTTCTTTAATTAAAAAAAAATTTGCATGTAATACATGAATATGTTCTATCTCAGAACATTTCATCTAAAGCTTAAATCTGTTGACTTCTCTTCCTCCTACTTCCCCCAGAGTGTGAAACCATTTCAGCAGGGTTACCTGTATTTGTATAAATATGTAGATTTTTTTACATAAATAAAATGTTGTATTTATCATTCTACTGCTTTTTTGAGGGTTCAACAATGGTTTTTAAAAATAGTTTATTGTTGGTACCTGTTAATGCATTTAACATAGTCCTTTTAATTGCAGTGTAGTGTTCCCTTGTTATGAATATGCTGCAGGTAATGAGCTATTTTCTGGCTGGTGGCCACGGAGGTCGCTTGACAGACAACAGTCTTTATATGTACTTCTTTGTGCACATTTGCCAGGATTGGTTTAGGGTCGGTACAGAGAATTGGGAACTGCTGGGTCATAGGGTAACAGACATGGGGGACTTGGCTACCCCATTCCTCCTTCTGGTCCTGGACACACTGGAGTGTGGTTCCACTTTCCCTGGCTGGTCTGCTTGGCCTTGTTGCTTCTTGTGTATATGTTGCTTCTTTCTTTTTGGAGGTTGGGAGGGCAGGAGAATAGGTTGCTGGGAGACTTGCAGGCTAAGTATACATGAATCCAAGGATGTCCCACATATTATGGCAGTGGCCCTTCAATGGCTTTTCTTCCCTCAGTTTGTTGTGGGGTGATGTGTTGGATTTGCCTGGCCACCCTTGCCTTAAAGCTAACCTGTCTTAGCAGCAGGGGCCAGTGTCATCCACCTCCAGGTCAGTAATGTGGAAACTAGTTGGAGAGACAGTTGGAAAAGGGGGGAAGGCAATGAGGAGTGTAGAGCAACTAGAAAGGACCTGCAGATGACAGGCTTTGAACCTGGCAGTGAATGCATGATCTGCTCCTATTTAGAAATACTATATTCACTGAAGCATCACAGTATAGTTGTGGGGTCGGGGTGGTGCCTCGGCGTTGGAACCAGGTGACAGATTTGGTTCGAATCTTGTTTCTGGGCTTAACCAGCAAATTCATCTGCCTGCTCTGAATGTGGGTTTTTCGTGAGGATCCTTGAGAATCATTCCTTAATGGTGAGATTGCAGAAGATAATGGATGTGAAGGGCCACACGCGGAGCCTGACACTTACTCGGTGCGAATTGTCCATTCTCTGCCGTATCCCAGTGACTGAGCTTGGTGCTCAGACTAGAAAGGATACCTCAGATGAGTTCCTGTGTTCTTACTCTCAGAGCTCTCCCGGGCTAGAAACTACATGTAAATAACAGAGCACACACTTGGATGAGTTGGATGAGTCCAAAGGAGGCAGAGAAATTGCTTGGAGTTTCCTCAGTAAGGGGCACTGGAGGAAAAGAAACATGACCTCAGTCTTTTTTGTCTGGAGCTTAAACAGTGCTAGAGCAGGTGGATACTGCCGCGCACCGCTTTCATTTTTATATAAAGTTCATACCTAACCAAAGTGATTTTAAATTATTTTCTTAGTAGTCATTGTAAGAAATACCCATTTTGGGGGGTGGATAAGGGGAGGGTCTGCCCCAGGTTCATCTGCCCCAGGGACCTTGATACTCATGCTGTCTTTGAAACTCACCTTCCTCTGTCAATATACCTCAATAAGGCTGGGGGAAAAAGGAAAAAAACCCACCCTCTTCCCTCCCTGAAGTCTGACTGGCTCCCTGCAGGCCCACAGTGGGTGCTGAGCAGGGAAAAACCGACACAGGGCAGTTATTCTAGGCAATTCTGTATCTTACTAGTCTGAGTGCCGCCCTCTAACCAGCAGCATCAGCACCACCTGGGAACTTGTTGGAAACGCAGAATCTCAGAATCTCAGACCTCACTCTGGATCTGTACTTAGCAAGACTCCCCAGGTGATTTCTATGGACGCGGGAGTTTGAGACGTCAGGGCCCCTGGCCCCCCATCCGTACACCCCCCTTTACAGCATGTCCCCACATACACCACAGGCACCTCTGTCCTTCATCAGGATGGACACCTTTGGACCCTAAAAACACTGGATATCAGGAAAGGCCCCACTGCGGTGAATTGCTTTTAGGGGGCCCTCTACTTTCCTTTCAGTCCAGGAATCAGCATTTCCTTTGTCAACTAGGTAAAAAAAAATAGATTGCCAGAAAAAGGAAGAAGGTGGTCCAGATTTTTCTCACTGTCAAAATGGCTGTAGTGAAGGCGGTTGAGGGGAGGCACAATCGCTCTGTGGTGGAGCACATGCTGAGCATGCACAAGGTCCTTCGTGCAATCCCTGGTACCTCCATTAAGAAATGAATAAATACAAAATAAAACAAAACTGCTTTGGTGACGTGGGTGGGAATCACTGCTCAAGGCTCAAAGTCTATTCCTTAAAAGGAAACTGTGTATAGATATGGTTCTCCTTTTCTTAGCCGAACAAAATGAGATGGGTTTTGAAAATCGGGGCTGGAAGGATGAAGTTTTTATAATAATCACTTGCATTTACCTATCAGCTCCTGTTCGTGTTCTCTTCATTTTCTTTCTGATGGAGGCATTTTTAATGAGGGAGAGGAACTGGAAAAGGGGGTCAGGGAAACCAAAACACGAACAGAAAAATTCTGCTGAGCTTGGTAGCTGTTCTCAGTCTTTTAAAGTGCTTGAAAAGTCATATTTTGTTGCTACTAAATCTAATTAATAGCTAGCTGGTGCTCATCAAGACCTCATTTCTTTCAACCTTGAAGGCAATTGGAAAGATACACAGATCTGTGTATTATCACGGCAAATGAATTCTCTTTTTTCCTTAATCACTTAGAGCTTTTTCAGCAATGTCGGCAGCAGATGGACAGCTGTGTTTAAAAAATAGAATATGTCTCGGGGTGTTCACTGTGGCATGTAATGAATGTGTATTGATTGATAGAATTGCTTTTTTTTTTTAATATAATTTTGAAACCAGAGTTTAAACAGTGTACCAGGTAGGCCTGGTTCTTGACTGAGTCTCCAGCTTGTTCCTGAGTATTTGGATGGAATCAACAAGTCTTTGGAAGCCTGTTCTCTGCCCAGTGTGGACTAATCAGAATGCTGTGGACTAAAATGGATTTCAACACAAAGAGAGGGTGAAAATGCTCATCCGGGAGGAGGTGGGGCACCGGGGGATTACAGCGCAGAGCCCTGCATCTCTGCCGGTGCAGGGTGCAGCTGTGGGCTGTTAGTCACAAGGGCATTTCTTCCGTTCTGAGCAGACCAAGTATGAATTGACTCAGTGGCTGACATGTTGTTGGCTCAAGTGAAGTCCTCAGACCTCAACGGTAGTGATCAGACGTCAGCAGTCCAAACAGAAGAGAAGCAATGATTGCAAATGCTACTTATTTCGAGGACCAGAGCTGCTTCTGAGAGCTGCCTGAGCACCTCCTTTTCACATGCCCTCTGCCTCGTCCAAATCGATTACTTCTGTTGAAGCACACCCAGGACTGGATGATGTTTTGTGTTTATCAGGTAGCGTGTTACTCAGCTTGGCAAATTTTTATTAAGTGTCTACTTTGTGCCAGGTCCTTGGTGCAGTGGTTCAAGCCTGAGATCTGCCTTCTGGTGGGTGGTGACAGTGCGGCCGACATCCACCAGCACTTTGCATGTCTGTAATTTATACTCTGGTGATAATCTGGCAGCCCTGCCTTCAGGCCCGACTCTTATCAATAAAGCAGGACAGAGAAATCTGCACAGTGTGTTTGGGGAAATAGTTTACAGGAAGAAACATGATGTTACAACAAAATTGGCCTGATGGGAGCATAGCTAAGGTCTGACATGGGCAGGGACTTGTTACAATTAATCCTTTTTTTTTTTTAAACATTCTTAATCTGTTGTGGGAAAATGAAGGCGTTTTTCTTAATCCAGATGAAAAGTGAGAAAGCCTGTCTTCTGTTTACAGATGCTTGTCATTTAGTCCAGACACACAGATGACAGTCTGCGTTTGTTGGTTTCCATCTGGACAGGCTCCTCGTGCCTGGATGCAGAGCACAGTGGTAACCCCCCACCTCCCTGGACTGAGCCGAACGGGATGCG